GCGTCGTCTGCTATCAGTCGCGTCAGCTGCAACCAGCTGAGCGGAACTATCCAGTGCATGACAAGGAACTCCTTGCCATGAAGTATGCACTCGCGAAGTTCAGAGTCTATCTATTAGGAGATAGACCCTTCATTGTTTACACTGACCATGCGTCATTACGCACGGCAGTGAACAGCCCGCACCTTACACAACAAATGGCGCGGTGGTTGTCATTCTTTGCAGAATACAACTTTACGGACGAGTACAAACCAGGACGACTTAATGTCGTCGCTGATGCACTCTCACGTCGTCCCGACTTTGAAACAGTCGCGAAACCCAACAGTGAGACAGTCACTGTTGCGGTTATGACGTCCTCAGTCCCATCTACAACGTTGTATGATGATGTGAGGCGGGCATACGCCCAAGATGGTGAGATTGTGAAGTTGTTGATACATCTCTCCCAACCATCTCGAGAATCGTTGAATCGATTGTCGTCTGCGTATCGATCTGCATCAGATCGATACACTACTCGTAACGGTTTACTGTTTTATACAGCCGTTTCTGGTGACACACCACGCGTTGTCATTCCAGATGATACTGATCTGCGTTTGCGGATCATGTTCGAGTATCACGATGCTCCTATAGGAGGACATCGTGGCCGAGAGAAAACATATCTCACGGTGAGTCGAGACGTTTACTGGCCCCGCCAGTATCAGTTTGTGCGAAAGTATGTTCGCGCATGCGAAGTCTGCCAACGAGTGAAGTCAAGTCCTTCACTGCGTGCACCTTTACAGCCTCTACCGGTTCCGGCTGAGTGCTGGGAATCCATCTCAATGGATTTCGTCTTCGGGTTACCCAAAGACACACGCGGGAATACGGGTATTCTCGTATTTGTTGACAGATTCAGCAAAATGGTACACCTTGTGGCTGTACCAGAGTCAATCACGGCAAGTGGCTGTGCTTGTGTCTTTATCGACACCATCTTCCGACTTCATGGGTTGCCCCGTGAACTCGTATCAGACAGAGATCCACGATTCACTGCTGATTTCTGGCGTTCCGTGTTCAAATCACTCGGAACGCGCTTGAAGATGTTGACATCTGATCATCCAAAGTCAGATGGTCAGACGGAATGTGCCAATCGTGTCCTTGAAGAGATACTTCGAGGATACGTACACTCCTTTAAGAGTTGGAGTGAGTTTTTGCCCATGGTAGAGTTTGCCATCAACAACTCGGTGCATGCGTCCACGACACATACACCGTTTTACGTGAATGGCTTGCGCCATCCGCGTGTACCCACCTTACTAGAGTGTAACTCTGGTTTAAGGGGGGGGTCTCGCGCGAGCAAAAACCGATTTGGTTCACGCTCATCACGCTCTGACGAAGAGTTCATTGCGTTTTATGCCGATATCGATAACATCGATATCGAAGGAGATGATGCCAGTGAGAGTGCGGGAGCCCTCACTGAAGAAAAGATTGCCGTTTCTGCAGTGCGCTCACAGCGCACTGAAGCTAACGAGTCATCAGATGAGTTCATACTGGCCCGTGAAACGGTAGTCCGTTTTGTGCAAGACTCCATCGCCGAAGCGGTGGATAAGCAAAAGCAAAACGCTGATAAGAATGGAAGGGCAAACACTCTTTTATTTAATAAAGGCGACTTAGTCCTACTGTCTACGGTTAATCTACCAAAGCATGTAGTGACTAACTTGGGTAGCAGTAAACTACTACCCAAGTACATCGGCCCATTTCGTGTATTGCACCGCCTGGGCAATGCACACACGATCGAGTTACCACGTAAGATGCGAACGCATCCCACGTTTTACGTTGGTCGGCTTAAGCCGTACCATCAGTACGCTGCTTCTTCCGATGAAGAACGCCCTTGCGCTCAAGCATCTCGCAGAGAGCCTTGTGCTCCCGATGGTGGGCATCAACAAGGGTCTGAAGAGCAGCTATCTCATCCCGAGACCCATCAACAATCGTACGAGCTACCCTTAGCTCGTCACGAAGAGATGTCAGAGCTCTCTCGTTCTCAAACTGAGCAAAGGTAAACTCAGCTCGATGCTTCGAGGCAGTGTCCGCCATTTGAAGACGCCTGTCCCGCTCATGTTCGAGATCGTCGCGTAACCCTTGCGTTACCCGATCAAAGAAGCTCTCGGGAACACATGCTTCCCCACGATTGTGTGGAGAGCGTCTTTCCTCCTCCTCCACCTCCATTAGAGGACTCTCGCGGTGGTCAGCGCTATCTAGTTGAGCAGCTGTTGAACCACCGCGACGTGAACGGACGTCGGACGAGTTATCTCGTCCTGTGGCGCGGCTATACCCCGTCCTGGGATACTTGGGAGCCCCGCTCCCAACTGATGATTGACGTACTGGGTCTGGTTGAGCAGTCCGACGCGGCACATCATGTGACGCAGATAGAACGCCGGAGAAAGTCTTCCCGGCACGGTCGTAAAGGGATTTCAGGCTGTCAATCCTTTCGTACATCTCACTAGAGATACGTACGCGCCACCACGGGCTATTAGGGAGGTAAGCCTCCTTAGGTGCTCGTGCAGAGTTGTTCACACAACACGGGCACGAGTCTCCCCAAGAGAGGCAGGGTAATCCTTTCTCCCTTGACAGACGATGCAGCTTGTAGCGTGCACCTGTCGGGGTTCGCTTTTCAAACTTATCACGAGCTTTGATAAGTTTGTCGTTCCAATCGTCACGACCTACATCCTCAAGGTTATGGATGTAAGCGTTCCACGCTTGAAGCAGTGAGGGACCATCACGCTTGTGATTCCCACTGTACCATCGATGTCTAAAGAAAGCATCGATGAAGAATTCATGTTCAGCGCGATAGTTTTTCGCGCTGGGGTCAAGGTGATGGACCCTTGACGAATCGAACAATCGTGTTCGATAACGATCACTCGTCGTCGCCGACAAGTGATCCATGACAGATTTGGGAGGTATCCATGCCTCCTTCTCAGGAGCGAGACGCAAGACATTGCGGTCCCGATCTTCCTGCGATGTGCCGACAGAAGGACCGGCACCTTGTTGCGAAGTGGTGTCCATAGGAGAACCGACACCACTATTAGCGCCCGAGTCTCGCGACCTCGAGCGCCTTCGCTTCGGCGATGGTTCATCAGATTCATCAGATGAACCAAAGATGCTGCGACGCATCGCATCATCCATGCCACGCTTGGCAGGCGGCTTGGATTCGATCGCCGTCGATACGGATCCGTCTTCCGTATCAGGAGAGTATGAGACACCGAGCTCATACTCTGTGAAGACATGAGTGTCTTCATGACCAGCGCCTGCATCACCAAGTGACACAGGCTGAGTCGCTTCAGCAACCTATGAGACATCAGTTGCTGTGGTTTCTGCTTCGGCGTCCGCACAGAGACGTGCGGACGCGCTTTTGGCGGCCTTGTTCGCGCATCGCATGGGCTTGTTAACCATGCGGTGAGATGTTGGAAAGTGGACGCGGACCAACAAGTGCAAACCCTATCCCAAATGATTTGGGACGAGTATCCATTTAGTCAATCAGTCACTAAAGTGACTGATGGTTAAGGGGGGAGTGATGCAACGGGGTGCATCGTTACATAACAATTTACATGAAATTGTTAATAGAATATAACTATAAGAGTTATATTCACAGAATATTGTCATAAGGACAAATATTCTGTAGCACTTACGAGTAGTTCCTAATTGGTTGATATAGGCCATTATATCAACCAACGAAGACGCGCCACGACAGACGCACGCAATGAGTGGTGAGCAGATAACTGATTTACACATTTGTATTTAGACATAGTTAGATGAAGATAATAGTGATTTATTAACAGACATTAACTATTATAAATACAGTTCTACTTTTTACTTTAACCAAGTACTCGCTTCTTCTTACCGTCTTCCTCTGCACGTACGAGTGTACGTGAAGTTACGAGGCACCGCCTTATTCTGTCATCAGAATAAGTAGCTTTTACTGTCATCAGTACAAGCTTCAGGGCGCCCCGTTACAGTTAATGTCTGGTAATAAATCACTATTTATCCTCATCTAACTATGTCTGAATACAAATGTGCATATCAACTATCTGCTCACCACTCATTGCGTGCGTCTGTCGTGGCACGTCTTCGTTGGTTGATATACTGGCCTATATCAACCAATTAGGAACTACTCGTAAGTGCTACAGAATATTTGTCCTTATGACAATATTCTGAGAATATAACTCTTATAGTTATATTATATTAACAATTTCATGTAAATTGTTATGTAACGATGCACTACGTTACACAATATGTTCATCTTGTAAACAGGGGTTGCGATCCTATGACGTACTACAAAGTGCTTCCAGGTGTGATGGGGCACCGTGTACCCAAATCGATAGCATTTTAATCAGCTCGCACTTACACAGTGCAAGAAGGTGCCCCGACACTTTACGTACACTTACGTGCAGAGGAAGGTAAGTCTACTAGGTCGGAGAAGAAGGTGAGAATAAAATATACACTGAATTCAAAATTGATGGTAGTCTTCTGACAAACTCTGTCTGTTTACCTATCACAGCTAAGTTTAAGCCTGTGAGCTAGCGATATGCTAGCCACCTATTGCGCGCGTTTATCACTGATTGGACAACTTAAAAGGCTGATTTGTTGGCAAAAAACCAGCCAATGAGCAAGCTTTTAAATATTGCCGATTCAGGTGATATTATCGACACTTAAGATAATATTCTAATTAAAAAAAGGTATGTTATTTACATGTAACAAGCCCACCCCGTTGCAAGTCTACGCATTGCTGAGGCCGACAAAAAGCTTGTGGATGGCGCTAGTGAGCATTTCCAGCTGCTAGACGTTGCATCCCACGCTGTGCGCATCTACAATACATCGTAAAATGCAAGTTGGTGTATCTACGGCTACAACATCAGCTTAGAATAGAGGAGAAAGTGATGGCAATGGACATCTACGCAATAGAATCGAATCTACAACAAAAACACTTGATGCCGTGGGGCAGCGCTAACCATCTGCGCGCCCCCGCGTCAAGTAAGTAACTAGCTGCCCGAGATAGTGGCTGCGCCCTGACCAGTTACAGAAGAAATGCGTGTCCATTCATGATTCTTCTGCTGCTTCCAAACAGTAACCTCGTCATCACCAGCCGCGACGCTGAGCACCGAGCCTGTGAGTGACCAACTTATCCGGTACATTGGCGCACAAAAGGTGTGCACCACGTGGGACGACCATTCTCCACCGGCCTCGTCCTGAGTCCAAACACGCACCGTATGATCATCGGATCCAGACGCAATCACATTGGCAGGTAAACCGACGTTTGGTGCCCACGCCACGTCGCGAACCCAGTCGTTGTGGCCATACAAAGGAGTGGTTTCGATTTCCCAGTGACAACTGCCAGAGAGCTCCCCTTCTTGAGGGGCGACGACAAGATGCCATATGGTAACCGCCTGATTGCACGATCCAGTAACCACGCGCTGGATCGGCCCGTGAGGTCCATGCGAGCCGAGCGAGTTGTAAGGTGCCCAGCTAACCGCTGTGCATCCCATGCCTTCCTCCGAATTGCGAAAGCTCGACGTGATCTCCCACCCCTCCCGCATCCGGGTAAGGAACGACACGTGTCCATCGGCCGAGGCAGTGGCGAGACTCAGCCCGTACTCGTACGGCGCCCACGCGACACTCAGCACTGCCAGCGAGTGGAACTCGTGCACGTGCTGTAGACGCCACTCGGTCACGTTAGCAGTTCCAGCAGCCCCCTGTTGCACCAGCTCTTCCCGATAAATGTACACGTTTCCGTCTTGAGCTGCCAGAGCCAGCACTGCTCCAAACTTGGGGTGCGCCCACGCCACTCGGTGGATAGGAGCGACCGAGTCGTCGGCCAGACGCACCACATGTTGCAGAAGGTGCAGCGGCGTCGGTTCTTGAACGTGGTCAGTGCTGTTTGCGGCTGTCAGAGACTCGTGGCTGTCTCCAGTGCCGTCTGCGAAGGTCCGGGACACGTCGTACACGCGCAACGTTCTGTCGGACGAGCACGTGGCCAGGCGCTTGCCGTAGTAATCGAGCTGAATGTCGTAGATCGTGTCGCTGTGCGCCGTCTCGATGCTGGCTGATGGTGGCTGGCGCTTCGACGGGTGAGGCGGAGGAGCAAACTGCCCGTCCACTGACGTGCTGGAGGAGCTGCGAGCGAGCTCCATTCGTGTCGTTTCGACCCTTTACCGGATCTGATCGAGTCAGCTGGTTGTGATGAGTCGGGGTGGGTTGAACACGCTTCGTACGGATGAACCAATCATAGCGCGCCAGGATGGTCGGAGATGGAGCGACTTGGCGTCAGAGCATCTATTTTGTCTAGTTTCTTCAGTGATCCGATATGTGCAAGAGACGTACACGCAACTATGTGGCGATCAAAATGCGAGCATACGAGTCAGCAAGCTGCATGCCGAAAGTAGACAAAGCAAAGCAAACAGGCATATCGGAACCATAGCTTTCATTGCTCGTACTTCAAGTTGTTGAGCATGTGATGTGTTTGTCGCTATGCCAACTGCAACGCGGACCTTCTTGCAAACCAACACGACCCGTGATGCGAGACAAGAGCGTTAGCGCACTAGCACGAGGCTTTCGAATGCTCCCAGTCACCATCATGAGATACCGTACTGCTGTCAACTCTAGTGCATTGAAGTGTCAGCTGTAAGAGCGCATCTAAATCGAGTTGGTGAAGACTTTACTACACTAGAATGTGACCTTTGTCATAGGCACATCAAGCTCCGAGCTACCGACGATGTCACTTTCGGTGATCCGCGTATCGATCTGAAAGCAGCAGCACAGAACTCCATTACTTTTTATACAATGTAAGCTGCAGGGTTATCACGACAGCGTCACCGGAGATAGAGCAAGCAACGGAGCAGAAAAACAAGTCGGGTGGCTTACAGTCGCCAAGATCACACGCCCGGTGATGGCAACTCTGAACCGTGCTGAGAAGGAATGCGATTGATCATGAATCCAACATACTGATCTGACGCATTTGCTGCTCGGTTTTATCTTGCCTTCGTTGTTCTGGGACACAGATGTTGTTCGGTCTATCATGCAGTAGGACCGTGGTTTGTGGGCTCGAAGCGCACAGATCACTGCACTGATCCCCCTATTTGTAAAGTTGCAATGAACGCTAGCTTGCCCGGTACTTGTACTAACTTACATTGCCATTTGCGGAGTGAGTGAAACAATCATATTTTGTACCACATTTAGCTCTGCAGTGGCTTAGTCTGCAGTGGCCAAGCTTTGAATCGCTGAAGAACCTTCTGCCTCACAGAGCACATAAACGAGGTAGCATTTGGCAAGTTGTAGGACCGAACAGCAGAGGTCGAAGACGGAGCAGAAAAAGCAAAATGTTGGTGAGGGATCTAACACTTGTCCAACATGTCCTACGTAATGCGAGCATCATACATCTAAGCATGTTCCAGTTGCCGATGTCTTGTATAGCCAATCCGACTCCAAATTTACAGACCCAGCACCAGGAAGACCACAAAAACCAATTTGTGAGCCCAATCGATAGTCGCTTGATCTTACGTTTGAACGCTGTACCGCCGTCGACGGAAACCTGCTCGTGCTTGGGCTCACTCCACACTTGTGCAATGTATTGCCTCGATGTGCGCTGCTTAGAAAGTGCAGATCAACACCATCACCAGCTGAGACACCTCAGTGGGAGTCCTCGGGTAAAGATCATCCACAACAAAAAGTCAACTACAAATTTGACTCATGAAATGAAGCGCTACTCCGTCTTCAATGTAACTACAGCAACAATATTGTACTTAGACGCCCGCAGTAGAAGCGCAGATGCCACAAAAAGAAAACAACGAGCGTGCTCTCACAAGCAAGTAAAGATTTTACAAGATATTAATTTAGGACTTGAGTGCCTGGATCAGGTTATATGGGATAAAGATATTCTATAAAGTCGAACGCAAGTTAAGTCCAGTTCCCCTTCTTATCTTTTCTAAGACACGTGCCTTGCGAGGCATCTCTGATCGTAGATCATTAAGAGTTAGCAACACCTCCCTGAGGTAGCTACTCTTGATCACTAAGTGCTGTAAATTCACTGAATTATTAGGTCTACTAGAACAGGGACCTTAAGCTTTACGGCTATTTACTCATAGAGTCTGGTTCTTTAACACTAATATCGCTCATTGACCACTAAGTCTTCCTCTAGATATAGGAGCTGTGTAGCTCCGCTACACTTGGTAGCATTACTAGCCAATCGAGGCATGTGTCTTTTTTGTATGGATTGAAACTTAACTCCCCTCTTTATGGCCCGAAAGGCCATTCTTAAATAAGCTGACCGCATCTTTGGTCCATAGCATGTAAAAATCCATGTATCGCAGGACAAGGAGGTGCTGACAGCACGTTTGTAAGGCCTTTTTAGTATGACGCGTCCCTTCTAAGAAACTACAAGATCAGATGGAGCAGATTATACCTACACGCTTTGTGTATGTTTCAGACGACGAGGCCATGCCTCGTTTAAGAAAAAAAGCAAAAACTACTCATGAAAGGAGGGCTAAAACCTTTTTTCCGGATCCGTGTGTTGAGATGGCCGGTAGATCATGCCTGATCTAGATTGATCATTAACAAGTCTTGCTAGATATTTAAAAGCTCGATAAAAGAGAAAGAGAATGGTCCTTGACGTGTATCACGTCGATCGACTAAGTTTTTCCCTTACGGAAGTTGCTTAAGTAACAATTGGTACAGGTGTTTGCACCACCTTCATTGAGCATATCGCGTGCGCTTTTGTTTTGTAATTAATCCGTCAGGTTAAGAATGAGTGAACGGACTATGTCTGTAACGGGGCACCCTGAAGCTTGTACTGGTGACAGTAAAAGCTACTTATTCTGATGACAGAATAAGGCGGTGCCTCGTAACTTCACGTACACTCGTACGTGCAGAGGAAGACGGTAAGAAGAAGCGAGTACTTGGTTAAAGTAAAAAGTAGAACTGTATTTATAATAGTTAATGTCTGTTAATAAATCACTATTTATCTTCATCTAACTACGCCTAAATACAAATGTGTAAATCAGTTATCTGCTCACCACTCATTGCGTGCGTCTGTCGTGGCGCGTCTTCGTTGGTTGATATAATGGCCTATATCAACCAATTAGGAACTACTTGTAAGTGCTACAGAATATTTGTCCTTATGACAATATTCTGAGAATATAACTCTTATAGTTATATTCTATTAACAATTTCATGTAAATTGTTATGTAACGATTCACCCCGTTACATCACCCCCCCCCTTAACCATCAGTCACTTTAGTGACTGATTGACTAAATGGATACTCGTCCCAAATCATTTGGGACAGGGTTTGCACTTGTTGGTCCGCGTCCACTTTCCAACATCTCATCGCATGGTTAACAAGCCCATGCGATGCGCGAACAAGGCCGCCGAGAGCGCTTCTGCACGCCTCTGTGCGGACGCCGAAGCAGAAACCACAGCAACTGATGTCTCATCGGTTGTTGAAGCGACCCAGCCTGTGTCACTTGGTGACGCAGGCGCTGGTCATGAAGACACTCATGTCTTCACAGAGTACGAGCTCGGTGTCTCATACTCTCCTGATACGGAAGACGGATCCGTATCGACGGCGATTGAATCTAAGCCGCCTGCCAAGCGTGGCATGGATGATGCGATGCGTCGCAGCATCTTTGGTTCATCTGATGAATCTGATGAACCATCGCCGAAGCGAAGGCGCTCGAGGTCGCGAGACTCGGGCGCTAATAGTGGTGTCGGTTCTCCTATGGACACCACTTCGCAACAAGGTGCCGGTCCTTCTGTCGGCACATCGCAGGAAGATCGGGACCGCAATGTCTTGCGTCTCGCTCCTGAGAAGAAGGCATAGATGCCTCCTAAATCAGTCATGGATTACTTGTCGGCGACGACGAGTGATCGTTATCGAACACGATTGTTCGATTCGTCAAGGGTCCATCACCTTGACCCCAGCGCGAAAAACTATCGCGCTGAACATGAATTCTTCATCGATGCTTTCTTTAGACATCGATGGTACAGTGGGAATCACAAACGTGATGGTCCCTCACTACTTCAAGCGTGGAACGCCTACATCCATAACCTCGAGGATGTAGGTCGTGACGCTTGGAACGACAAACTTATCAAAGCTCGTGATAAGTTTGAAAAGCGAACCCCGACAGGTGCACGCTACAAGCTGCATCGTCTGTCAAGGGAGAAAGGATTACCCTGCCTCTCTTGGGGAGACTCGTGCCCGTGTTGTGTGAACAACTCTGCACGAGCACCTAAGGAGGCTTACCTCCCTAATAGCCCGTGGTGGCGCGTACGTATCTCTAGTGAGATGTACGAAAGGATTGACAGCCTGAAATCCCTTTACGACCGTGCCGGGAAGACTTTCTCCGGCGTTCTATCTGCGTCACATGATGTGCCGCGTCGCACTGCTCAACCAGACCCAGTACGTCAATCATCAGTTGGGAGCGGGGCTCCCAAGAATCCCAGGACGGGGGATAGCCGCGCCACAGGACGAGATAACTCGTCCGACGTCCGTTCACGTCGCGGTGGTTCAACAGCTGCTCAACTAGATAGCGCTGACCACCGCGAGATTCCTCTAATGGAGGTGGAGGAGGAGGAAAGACGCTCTCCACACAATCGTGGGGAAGCATGTGTTCCCGAGAGCTTCTTTGATCGGGTAACGCAAGGGTTACGCGACGATCTCGAACATGAGCGGGACAGGCGTCTTCAAATGGCGGACACTGCCTCGAAGCATCGAGCTGAGTTTACCTTTGCTCAGTTTGAGAACGAGAGAGCTCTGACATCTCTTCGTGACGAGCTAAGGGTAGCTCGTACGATTGTTGATGGGTCTCGGGATGAGATAGCTGCTCTTCAGACCCTTGTTGATGCCCACCATCGGGAGCACAAGGCTCTCTGCGAGATGCTTGAGCGCAAGGGCGTTCTTCATCGGAAGAAGCAGCGTACTAATGGTACGGCTTAAGCCGACCAACGTAAAACGTGGGATGCGTTCGCATCTTACGTGGTAACTCGATCGTGTATGCATTGCCTAGGCGGTGCAATACACGAAATGGGACGATGTACTTGGGTAGTAGTTTACTGCTACCCAAGTTAGTCACTACATGCTTTGGTAGATTAACCGTAGACAGTAGGACTAAGTCGCCTTTATTAAATAAAAGAGTGTTT